GACCTCTACTCCTGTTCAAAAGGCCGGGGTGGGAGGTGTGAAAACCGGTCGATAGGCAAACCTGTCTACTCCTGTTTGGAATGGAGAAAAATAATTAGTGAAAGCAGTTCAGAGTTTATGCGGAGACGTTAGAAGTATAGAGTTGTACTAAACTTGAAAACGAATCGGAAATGCAAACGTAAGCAGGGAATAATTTTTAAACGTCTACTCGTTTTTAAAAGACCAGGGAGGAGTGTGAACCGGACGATGGGAGGAAAAAAGTACGGAAAAGGTTCAGAGTTCAGTCGGAGACGTCAGAAATACAGATTTGAAACTACTGGAAACCCAGTCCTCAACAGGAGACAAAGGATAGACCTCTACTCCTGTTTAAAAAAAAATCGGGGAGAAATATGGATTTAAGATGAATTAGACGCTAATGAATGCAGAGTAATTTTTTCAGTCCCGATTTTTGAAGGTTATTTAAAGCCAGGAATTATTTTGTGATTGTAAGAATTTTTTATTTTCCTTTATGGAAATAACAAGAGTTTAGTGATTCAAATCTTACTAATTAACCCATAGTTGGGGGTGCAGAGTTGAATTTATACCTTTCCCAAGGATATTTGCGCGTAAGTGAATATAACAAAACTAGTGGGAATTGAAACCCAGCTCTCTGATTAACAATTCCGAACCATTATCTACTACACCACCCGCACATCCAACTTTACAACACCGGGTATTAAGACATGGGGAAATTTGGTTATAAACATAAAAACAGCTTCTGATCTGCTATGCAATATCTCATCTCATCTCTTATATGGCAATGAATGATGGACCATTAAAGAAATGGCTTGTAATGGCGGATATAGTTCTCCCAAATTAATATCATAGAGAAAACATACAAATCATACGGAGGACAATTCGGGACTGCAATAAAAAAAAATTACAATTGCAATCAGAAAAAAAAAGATTGAAGTGTCTAGGGTACTTAATGAAGAATGGGTACCCAGATAATTTAAAACTCAAAAGACATACTGAAGGAATAGAGATCATGGGTAATATATCTTAACTTTTATTTAATAGCAAATGCTGGAATATTTCCTCACCCATGAAGAAGAAATACGTAGCGACAATGATATGGGTCTATGAATGAAAACTAAAACCAATATGTAACCAGATAGGAAATTCTCAGTGAATTATAAATTAAAAAAACAAAACAAATTTAAATAAAATTATATCTGCAATCAGAAAAAAGTCAAAAGAATTTTATAGGACTCATAACGAAGAAAACAGACCTGGACAATTTAACATTCACAGGACATACTGAATACAAGAAAAGTAAGAGGACATAGAGACGAATCAAATTATAAATAAAAACACAGACTATTATCATTAACAGTTACCCTGCAACGAAGTTTGGTTGGTTGAATTTTGTGATATGTCAATCCTTGTTGCGTTATTTAATGGCGAACTTTCTTTGGGGTACCTTGTGAGGATCGACCTCCATACTTATGACATTGATAACGTATTTACTGGGAAATGGAGAAAAAGAACAACGCCATTAGTACTCAGTTAGTGATGACTACAGCACAATTTCAAACTTGACATTGGTTAATAAAAACAAAGTGCTGATAACTCTTTAAGAATGCAGTCACCGTTTTGATACTGTATTTATATGACCAACAAGAACTCCACCTAAAATGATATCAAATCAATTGTTGGGGTGTTTAACAAATTTTGTGAGTAGATAAATATCTAATTAATAGTAATCGGCAAAAAAAAAAATATTCCGATTTTTTTTTTTTTTACTGTTAGCTTGGCCAGACTCACTGAAGAAGCCGAAAGAAAAAAACAAAATTTAATGGAGCAACACCAATATTTATTCTTCAAAATAAAGACCTTCATGCGTCCTGATTCATTTATAAAGCGGAAAGAAAAGAATAAAATTTTGTGGTGCAAAATAAAGTCCATCAGTCTCGATGATCTTCTGCTATCGATCAGCCAGCATCCGAATCTCTTCCAGACACCAGTTCGCTGGATTTGAATAAAAAAAAAAAAAAACAAAAAAAAACTGTAAACAAGCTCCCTTCACTTCATCAAAAGTGTTGAATCGCTGGTCGTGGAGGAAATGTGCCATAGTCATTTGGAAAAGCATTGGGACTGAATGGTGGATTTGAAAGAATCTCAACATCGTCCATATGTTTAAAATTCTCCTTAGGGAACCTGGCATTGTCTTGCTGAAACAAAGCCCGACCACGTTTGACCAAAGAAGGATACTCCTTCTTTAGTTTGTTTTACACGCTGTCTAGCTTCGGTCATATTTAGGGTTGACGACGCGACCATGTGGAACTCGAAATGCAATACTCCTTAGAAATTCCACAAGACAGAGATCAAGATTTGTTGATTTCTTTCTGCTTCCTATGCGTGTCAGGACATTCTGGCCAACCGAATATATATATATATATATATATATATATATATATATATATATATATATATATATTGAATTGACCAGAAAGTCCTGACTCACTTATGAAGCGGAAAGAAAACAATAAAATTTTGTAGTGCAAAATAAAGTCCATCATTCTCGATGAACTTCTGCCATCGATCAGCCAGCATCCGAATCTCTCCCAGATACAAGTTCGCTGGCTCTGAATAAAAAAAAACTGCAAACAAGTTTCCTTCACTTCATCAAAAGTGGTGAATCGCTGGTCGCGGAGAACGTGTGCCATTGAGTGGAATAGGCCATAGTCACTCGGAACAGCATTGGAACTGAATGGTGGATGTGGAAGTATCTTTATACTGTCCATCTGCTTGAATTTATCTTTAGTTAATCTGGCAGTGTGTCGCCTCGCATTATCTTGCTGAAACAAAGCTTGACCTTGACTGACCAAAACAAGATACGTCTTCTTTAGTTTGTCATACATAAAGTCTAACTGCTGACAATACAGTTTTAGCATTGATGGCGCTATCGTGTAATGCAGTACTCCTTGAAAATTCCACCAGAGTGAGATCAAGATTGTTTTTTTTCCGCTCCCTAAGTGAGTTAGAACTTTTAGCCAACCTAATATATATATATATATATATATATATATATATATATAGTTAGTTAGTTAGTTAGTTAGTTGATGGAAAACTAGGTAATCCGTATGGGTAAACCCAAGGAGGATAAAATCCAGAGAGCTCAATGTAAACCCAGAGCAAATAATTTAAATAAAACCAGACCACTTTAAGGTTCCATGTAATAAATTATTTCAACACAGCCCTTTTAAAGGACTGCGGATCATTAGACTTTACCTCCAAAAGATTTTGGAAGTAAAGTCTAATGATCTGCAGTCGTTTAAAAGGGATGTGTTGAAATAATTTATTACATGGAACCTTAAAGTGGTCAGTTTTTATTTAAATTATATATATATTGGTCAGAAAGTCGTAACTCACTTAGAAAGCAGAGAGAAAATAACAAAATAGAGCAACACCAATATTTATTCTTCAAAATAAAGTCTATCTTTTTTGACGATCTTTTTCTAGCCATCAGCCAGCATTCGATCCTGTCCTTGATGCCAGTCCGCTGGCTTTGTATATAAAAAACTGTAATCAAGCTCCTTTAACTTCATCAAAAGTGTTGAATCTCTGTTCGCGGAGGAAGTGTGCCATCGAGCCGAGTAGGCCATAGTCACTCGTTGCGGAATGGGCCATAGACACACGGAGCATGAATGTTGGTTGTGAAAGGACCTCAAGACCGTCTATTTGTTTGAACTTCTCGTTAGTCAACCTGGCAGTGTGTGGCCTCGCATAGTCTTGTTGAAAGAAAGCCCGGCCTCCATTGCCCAAAACAGGATACTCCTTCAGCTTGTCGTACACGCGGTCTGGCTGCTGGCAAGACAGCATTTATGGTGTGACCATGTGGAACAAGTTCGAAATTCAGTACTCCTTGGAAATTCCACCAGACAACGAACAAGATTTGTTTTCTTTCCGCTTCCTAAGTGAGTCAGGACTTTTCGCCAATCTTATATATATATATATATATATATATATATATATATATATATAAAGAAATATAGTCTTAAGGTGTGCTACACCTACGGAACAAAGTGCTCAATATCAGAGATAGAGCGTGTGTAAATATAAAGTGAACACAGAAGTCAACACCCAGAGGCGACAGTCTGTTTCATGCTATATGCAATCGTCAGGCCACGATTGCATATAGCATGAAAAAGGGCTGTCGCCTCTGGTGTTGACTGTGTTGTGTTCACTATATATATATATATATATATATATATATATATATATATATATATGAATCATTTAACCCACTCTCAACAAAGTGTATTACTAATGTAGCAGCAACGTATGAAGTGCATTTAATAAACATTTAATGGTATTTTGCATTTATACCAATGTCGATATTTTTCTAGAGATCAGGCAGCATCCGATCTTGTCCTAGATGCCAGTCCGCTGGTTTTGTATATAAAAAAATGTAAACAATCTCCTTTAACTTCATCAAAAGTGTTGAATCCCTGTTTACGGAGGAAGTATGCCATCGAGCGGAATGTGCCATAAACACACGGAGTAACTTCGGAACTGAATATTGGGTATGGAAAAATCTCAATGCCGTCTATTTGTTTGAACATAGTCAACTTGGCAGTGTGTTTTCTCGCATTGTCTTGCTGAAGTAAACCCGATCTCGATTGTCCAAAACAGGATACTCCTTTTTAGTTTGTCGTACACGCGGTCTGGCTGCTGGCAAGACAACATTTATGGCGCGACCGCGTGGAACAAGCTCGAAATGCAGTACTCCTTGAAAATTCTACCAGACAGAGAGCAAGATTTGTTGTTTTTATTTCCGTTCCCTAAGTGAGTCAAGACTTTGTGGCCAATCTAATCTTCTTTTACGAGTGAACCAGTTAACATTAGTTGTACTAAAACTAATATTACCAAAGCTAAACCACGCAATTTTAACGACGTCTATCTGAGACGGGCTTTTCATGGGGTATAGGCCTTTTGACAGATCACCAGTGCCAAACCTATTGTATGCATAAGCAACAAGTTTTTTTGTTTTTTTTTAACACAGTGACAAATATCTTAATAAAATTACTAATGGTTGGTGTTGTTATGTGTAAGATTCGTGAGGAGATTGAAATGAGAAAATAAATCTCGGTGACGGTAGACAGAGCGAAGAAGAGACAAAATTTGATTTCCTGTTTTTTGTTGAAGCCCATGTAGGTGTCAGTAATTAGATTGCGAATTTGACAGGTTGAATGATGTCGGCCGAAAGCGGCCCGATTGTGACATGCAGCTGTTGCAACGGTGTAAGAAAATGAAGACGGGAATGGTAGATTGTTGCAAGGAGAAACGTAATAGCAACGTATTGTGGGCGGGTTAATCTCTAAGAGTAAATGAGGGAGTAAATGAGGGAAAGACGTGAAAGAAAACAGAGAGAGAGAGAGAGAGAGAGAGAGAGAGAGAGAAAGAAATAAAAAGAAAAGATAGAATGAAAAGGGTGAATTAATTAAAAAAGATAGATAGATAGATAGATAGATAGATAGATAGATAGATAGATAGACGGGAAGAAGTATGTATGAAGATAGATAGATAGATAGATAGATAGATAGATAGATAGATAGATGAAAAAAGACAAAAATAGCTAGCTAGATAGATATGAACAGACGAAGATAGATAGATAGATAGATAGATAGATAGATAGATAGATAAATTGGAAGAAGTATGTATGAAAAAAGCAAAGATATCTAGCTAGATAGATATGAACAGACGAAGATAGATAGATAGATAGATAGATAGATAGATAGATAAATTGGAAGAAGTATGTATGAAAAAAGCAAAGATAGCTAGCTAGATAGATATGAACAGACGAAGATAGATAGATAGATAGATAGATAAATTGGAAGAAGTATGTATGAAAAAAGTAAAGATAGCTAGCTAGATAAATATGAACAGACGAAGATAGATAGATAGATAGATAGATAGATAGATAGATAGATAGACTGGAAGAAGTATGTATGTGTTGTGTACGATACACCTAATTTACATAAGTGGAGTACCGACCATATAAATATGGGTTGGTACCGGAAGACGGGGGTTGAAGAAGACATCGAATCGAGAGACTCTGCCCGACTGCGATTTAGTCAACCCATTATGCAGGAACAGTCTTCCCAAGAATATACCAAAACTAACTGTAAATATTGTGTACCCTTTCTTTGTTTTAATGCATTTTGTTTACGTACATTTTGTGTTGTATTATTATTATTCCGTGCTTATCCAAGTTTCAACAGTATGAAAAAAGCAAAGATAGCTAGCTAGCTAGATAGATATAAACAGACGAAGATAGATAAATAGATAGATAGATAGATAGATAGATTGGAAGAAGTATGTATGAAAAAAGCAAAGATAGCTAGCTAGATAGATATGAACAGACGAAGATAGATAGATGGATAGGTAAGTAAAGAATGAGATAAACAGACACAAAGACAAATTGAAAGAAAGAAAGAAAGAAAGAAAGAAAGAAAGAAAGAAAGAAAGAAAGAAAGAAATAATGAACGGACGCAGATATATAGATAGGTAATGATCATAGGAAGATAGATAAGTAAAGAATGGGATAGATAGATAGATAGATAGATAGATAGATAGATAGATACGAAAAGACTGACATAGATAGATAGATAGATAGATAGATAGATAGATAGATAGATAGATAGATAGATAGATAGATTAAGTCATGAAATAATAAAATTATTCAGGGAAAAAAGAAAGAAGGAAAGAAAGAAAGAAGAAAACGATGAACTATGTTCAAAGAAAGAAAGACAGAAAGAATGAACACAAGTGAAATGAACTTATATAATGAAAACGCACAGACAGAGAATAGCAAAGATTTTGTACTCCTTGTGACATTTGCATATTCACTTCATTTGCATATTCCCTTCATCCACTAAATGTAACATCAATTAAATGAGAGTAGGAATAGCAATTGAAGCCAAATGACAGCGAGAGAACGAATTAATATAAAAGCCAGACAAAGGCGGAAGGAAAGATGGAAACAATACCAAAGGGAGATAACAAATAGACATGAAAGTATTAACAAAGAAACATCAAGCAAGTGATTAAGAAATACGTTTAAAAGTCAGCGAGGGAAGGACGGAGAGAACGTGAACTAGTGTGAGACAAATGAAAGAATGAATAAATATTGACATGAGAAAATTAAAATAACCCCTCCCCACCTAAAAAAAGATGGACGAAATATTACTACAAGATAATCTGAACAGTCAAAGCAATATTGAAAACTGAGAAAGAATGCAAAGAGGATATTTCGATTCAGACGCCCTTCGAGATTTCATATGCAAATCTCGTCGGCCATTACGTTGATTGATCTGTTGGCGAGAAGACAGACGTTGCGCGGGTTTTAACCGCAGGCGAAACCCAAAGACGGCCGACTCGGGGACCTTCGAGTGCGACCCGGTATTAGAGGTAATATTCATGAGGTTCACGGCGACGCGAACTCTATCGTAATCGCTTCAGGTCGGTTCTAAAAAGGGTCAAAAACGTGAGGAGAAAGAAAGGAAGACACGGGCGGTATTGTGCCGGTGTCGGGGAGAAAATGATTGCTGTAGGCTTCGAAAAAGATGGACAAAGAGGTTTATATCTAAGGGTGTGAGATTTGGGTTAGAGTTAAGATTAGGGTTGGGTTGGGATTTGATCTAGATTTAAGTTAGGGTTCATGGTTTTGTGGGCTTGAAGCAATTTGCTTTGTGGAAAGTGAAAAGGAAAGTATGATGATTGAAGGTTTGGTCGCTTTATTAGAAAGAAAGAACGAAAAAGAGGCGGTATCAAAAAGAAAATGTGCAGATAAAATTTAAAGAAAGAAGACTGGAGTCAGTTGTAGAGAAAGAAGGATTTTTGCTGAAAACTTGTATATAATGAATTGAAATAGAAATAGAGAGACAAAGAATAAGAAAAGAAAAAACGAAAACAAAGTAAAGGAAAAACAGTATGAAAAAAACAGATGGTAAAAGTGCTGAGAAATTCTAACAAAAAGCGAAAGCAGAAAGCAGTTGTCATGTAAGAAAACAAAGGAAGACGAGAAAAGAAAAAGATAGAAAGAAATACAATTAATTAATAGAAATCTCTGAAACATTTTAAAGCGTTCTTAAGAAAGTTGAATGTGCAAGTTGTGGCGTCGTTTTGAGGTAAAGAGAAAAAGAAAGAAACAAAAGAAAGAAAAACAGTAAAAGCGAAAGTGAAAGTGAAAGTGAAAGTGAAAGTAATGTTTGGCGTGGGAAGAAAATGAAGGCTGTTTGACGAGTAGCGTTCAAAATATATTTCGGCCTTGAGGCAAAAATGAGTAAAGTTAGGGGAGGTAATTAAGTGTGCAGATTAGTTGAAAGGTTTCAGAGGAAGAAGGGAGAATTACTTTTGCCTCTGTGAGCTGGAGTAAGATTGGCGAAAGGGAGACACATTAGTTTTAAAGAAGAGAAGGGTCTGTGCGCGTGCGTACACACACAAACGAACGCACTGTGACTTAGATCCAAAACACGAGAGAGAAAAACATATGATACTACTGATCAGATAAATCAATGAAACATTTTCATCTCGAGATGTCCGCTAGTATTTTTCAACGCAAATGGTGTGTAGATACAAAGTTTAAACTTTAAAATGAAATATTTAAGAAAAGAATATTGACTTAACCAATATCTTATTGTCAACGGCTGCATTTTATTCTTCCTTTTTTATTTAATACTAGCTGCATCGCCCGGCGTTGCCCGTGCTTGATTCAAAAATCGTACGACTCATACAGCAATCGCTATCACTTGACTTAAAATGTTTTTGTCCTTCCTTGCCTTTAAAGGAGTGCCCTTTGCCGTGCTGATGTTGCTACATGCTTTACTTCTTGCCTATCTCACACTGCGAATGTTTTCTAAGCTCTATACTAAACATTAAATCTGTTAAGAAAAAAGAACTAAACAAAATGAACACAAAACGATCAACTTTAAAAAAGGACTCGTAACTGGAAAAGCCGAATGAAAAAAGAATGTTAGCAACAAATACTTTTTCACGCCTAACCCAGTTCTGCGGAATCTGATTCAACGAATGAGCCAATTGGAGTAAAGTGTCATGCAGATTTAAATTTTTCCCACTTGTGATGAATGCAGCTATCGATTTTTTTTTGCATGCTAGCATGCAAGTTAACATTCGTGTCAGTCAGCTGTTGGCTCTCACGCTGGCCAATAGAATCTTTCTGCCTATTCGTGGCAGCCAGCTATAGGCTCTCACTCTGGCCAGTAGAAAATGGCCGCAAACTACATGAAAACTGCCGTAGAAGCAAGAACAAATCGATTATTTCCACTGTCGATGGGAGTTGAGAATGGCAAAGTTGGTCTTGGCCTTTCCACTAACTTGGAGCATGTGCATGTAAATTTTGGTGCAAATCCGTCGAAAATTGCGGCCGTACATTCGTTACAAACACACACGCAGCCTGCCTTTTATAGATAGAGATTTAATTTTTAATTTTCTAACTTTGTATCAGAGAAAAATATTAGCGTATTAATGCTAACTGAAATAGCTCTTTTGATGAGGCAATTTCGCAGTTCTCTATTTTGTAATGTATATATTGAGCTGTTTTGTGGACCAGGTTTAATATTTTATATTTTTAGGATCCTGTTGGATTATAAACCAATGGATTTATTACAATGATATATATATATATATATATATATATATATATATATGAAGTCAGTAGTAGACAACAAAGAAAGAATGTTCGCATTCTGTCCATGAGTACAGGGTACGAATCTCACCATTTTCAATTTGTCAGGAGGACGATTTCCTCATGTTATCGGACTGGATCGAGCTCGATCCCAGCGTGCAGCACCTTTGGAAAGTACCTGAAAACCATCTCACAGATTGACCCTACCCTTGTGAGTGAATTTGGGTAGAGGGAACTCTTGAGGGCCTCGATAGCAGTTCTAGCAAAAAAGCAACAAGTCATCGTGTCCGAGGGATTGAGCGTGCTGGC